GCAAATGCCTATTGGTTCTTCATGGTTTGTATTTATGATCATTTTGTATTAAAGGAAGGGAGTCTGGAAGGTTATTCCGGGACCCTCATCGTCCTTTTTCATTGTCAGTCCATCTGATAGTTGTGAGGTATACAGGAAGCGACTCCCCAGGAACCGAAGGGCGTGCGCGAAACTATTGATAAAGTAAAAAACCCCGCTCCTGTAGGGGGTTTCGCCGGCTACATGCAGTGTCCTGTGAGGTTTGCCCTATATACGGGGAGTTATAATCTGTAGGGGGTCTGACATCTGGCTCATTATGTTAAATTAATATAAATGTTTCTCCTAAATATTAAACAGTCGCCATTCTCCGTCCCACTCAATAACTCATTTAAGTGTCATCACAGCTGAGCAGGCGGTCTTGCAGACGTCAAGTTGGTAACTACTTTGTGAAATCCATACGGGACAGTTCATAAGTAATGACCTCATCATTTCCCCTCTTCAATATAACTAATACAGCATTAATCCTTTCCCACAATGTTTCACTTTTATATCCTTTAATAATCTACTTTGTCACAGCTCAGGAAATGCAGGACTGGACACAAATGCAGACAAAGCAGGCATAAGGACGACTTCAGCGGTTTAATATATGAAAATAGCTTCCAGGTCGGCAGACAGGCGGGCAGGTAGACAGGTTCAGATGCGGGTTTTGAGTGACAGAATCTCAGGATGTGAAGTCACACAGGAAATAACTGAACTAAAACCCAAAACCATGATATATTTGTTTAAAAAAAAGCATCCTTCTGAGTGCCTTTGCAGAGTCATATTGTTGCATATAGAAGAGGTCTAGTTTTTTTCAAGTTCTGACTGGAAAGTCAAAAACAGGGATTTCAGAACACCAGTCATAATGGCTTAATATGGAAAAACATCTGGATTATGTTGGAGGGGTGGTGGCGCCTAAAGAGACCTCGCTCTGTGGGGCTGGTCAAATTTGCTGGGATACTGGGAGGAAGTTAAAAAGGAAACAGAAACAAGTTATTTATCTTAGGCCTCCTTCAGGAATGTCTGAACTGAATGACAAAAGAATGTCGTCGGTCCGGGTAGCTAAAGGGAGAGAGTTGCACACTGGTAACAGACCCAGCCTAGAATGAATGACAGTAGTCTGAGAACCTAATAAATTTCGAGACTGGAAACAACTTGAGTGACATGAGTGAAAGTTTGACATGAACATGCCCAGTTGGGATGAACCCAATCTCGTTCTAATAATGTAGGTTTATACATTGAAATCTTCTACAAAGGTGATATTATTAAAGTTCTAATCGATTTTTAACCACAGGTGAAGCTGTCGGTGTATAGGCGTGAGGACTGAGGTGGTTTGGGTTAAACAAAAAGTCAGGGTCAAAGCCAATCAGAGGCAGAGTGAGGGCAGGTCTTTGAGGAAACTTACGTCTCGCTAAAATGGATAGAAAACACTAAAATAACTGCAGTTAGAGGTGTGGATAGGGTTTGTGGTTAGGGATTGTATTGAGGGTACTGGCACCTTTGTTGCTCCAAATCAGGCACTGGGGCTCACGCATTTTACTAAAAAAAGTAGATTTAGTATTTGGTTAAATGACTGCTAGCTACCCAGGCACTGCTAGCACTTAGTTAGCCATTGATTCCACAACGAGTGGGTGGTGAATGTAGTTCAAGCAGCTCCTTAGCTACAATAGCCACCAGGTCAGTTATTAGCAGGTTAGCTGATCATCCAAACGTCTGGCTAACGCCCCACGCTGATGTTGCAGATCTTACAGCTGGGGTCTTTCTTGGCGTTGACGGTGGACTGACTCACGAGCTGTTGCCCGCTGATCCGTGCCACTGTCCCTAAAGACATATCCACCGGCTCAGTGTAGATCACCTCCAGGATTACGTCCTGAGCGTGACGGAAAGACAGCGAGCCATCGTCCTCCTCGGTGCGGCTCAGGAAGCAGTTGTTTGATCTGTCCAGCGCCGGCAGCCTCCCTTTACAGAAGACGTCTCCTTTGGTGCCGTCAGGAGCCAGGACCAGGATGATGTAGTGGTAGGACGTGTACATGCAGTAGAAATCCCCAAAGTAGATGTTGGTGTTCTGGTTGAAGAGGACCTCGGCTTGGATCTGTGCAGAAAGAAATGCAGCGCAGTATGTTTGTGTACTATAGTAGTGTTTGTTTGTTGTTGCTGTAAACAACAGTGATGTCAGTCAGATTTGGGAAAAACAGAGTTATGAATATTAAATCATCCGTCTTTGCTCACTTCATCTCAGCCTTTCTCACCCGCAGGTGTGTTAAACTACAGGTTATCAACCTTTTGGTGAAATTATCAGTTATTTTATCGGCATCGGCTGTGAGGAGAAGGTCGTCATCGGTTATTGGTTGAAAAAAATGTTATTGTGCATCTTAAGAACTTTTGAATAAATGACACAAAAAAATGTAATAATTTTTGTACTTTTATTGCAAATAAATGCCTAAAAACATCACAACATGCATGGCAATCCCAAAAAATGGCTGTGAAAATCTGGAGGGAGTGATTAATGGAGCGCTGGTGTCAGCACAGTTATTGTTAACCTGCCAAATGTCTATGAAAAGATTCAAAAGGCCGCACCTGGAAGCGGTAGGGTCCATATGGGGAGTCCTGGGGGGGGTTTCCTGTGTTGAACTCTGTGTTGCAGCTGAAGAAGACCCCCTCCAGTTTGCCGCTGATGGGGGACCCGAGGCTGCCGCTGTTGTCTTTGACTGCCGGCAGCATCCGGTGGCACTGAGCGTCTCTGGAGCAATAGGAAGGGCTGTTCAGGGCACACAGGGTGAAAACACACAGAACATCAACATCTGGAGATACAGTCAGTGAGTGCACACACACACACACACACACACACACACACCTGGCCTGTTGGAAGTACTCTTGCTGTTGGTTTCTGTAGAAGACGGTAAACGGCAGCATCCGGCCAGCAATCGCCTCGGCTTTCTGTAGCAGCTGGTTCAGATGGAGGCTGGAGTAATCTGTGGAGAACACACACACACACATTGATACATTCTCTGTCTGTATTCAGTATTTTTATCATTTTAAAAATCAGACTTAATATTCTTCTTTCTGACAGATTCACTGCTTATTCTCATTGTTCTATCAGCTGTTTGCTTTCTGATGCAGGACGAGGCTGTTGATCAGCGACTGATCAGAGCAAAGCCTATTAAATAATAATAAGACTTTATT